GGGAAATTTAATTTGGTGCAGTTTTAATGAATAGCCTTCGAAACGATGGCGTCGTACGAGTACCACTTGTAAGGGTGATCTAGTACCTTTTTATATTTTTATACATTTAGATTTTTGCCCGTTATTTGATACACATGTACTTCAGAAGTAGGGGAACTAATGAAATAGATTCCTTTTATATAGCATTTTAAGATAAAACGTACATCAATTTTTAAGTTAGACCTTCAAGGATACAACCGCAAAAATCACATTCAATTTGATGTAGTAGTTTTTACATAATGCCGGAATAAATATACAGACAGACAGATAGACAAAATCTCTTAAAATCATTGTTTTAACTTCTGTTCCTATAATTCGAACCGCTCATATATATTATTATAGTTTTCTTTTTTGTATATTTTTTTCACATTGTCTAGTTATAATTGTATTATATTAGTAAGTCTATATAAAATGTGTTTTGAAAAAAACAAACTTCGTTTTGAAATTATGACAGTGACTACCCACTTATATTATTAACTGTTTTTTTTTAAATCTGCTAGATAATAATTCTTAAGAAAATTATATACACCTATTATTCATCTCTTTTTATTAAATGACATATTATGATGAGAACAAAGCACATAAAATAATATATTTAGGTATATCCTTTCTCCTGTATTTCGTGTATTTGAATAATATAATCTTATATTAATATAAACATAAATTCCTAAACATTATGTATAAATAAATTTTATATTTCAAAAACTATAAATGATTTTTTGACATATTTTTCTCGTCCGACACTATTTTGCCAATAAGCGTACTACTGTATTTTTGTATCAGCCATTAACTAATTTTCGAACTTCAAGTTACTATATTACTAAATCAATGTAAATAACCATTAAGCACCGGGGGGAAAGGGATTGTTAGTAATGAAGACTGAGAATCCCATTGCCAGCAATATACCCAACCAGGTCGACCTCCTCGTGGTTCTCTCTGGAAACTATCATGGTTAATTCCTGATGAATTCATCATGATGGGCTAATTGGCCTGTTTTCATTCTCATCTATCACCCTTCACTGGTGCTCCGCCAGCCTATCCCGTTAGCGCAGGCGGAGTTACCATACCATTTTCATCCATCAAAAAAAAAATTAAGCAACCGAAGCACTATCAAAATAAATTACGCGTGCAAGAATTAAATAGCTATTAGAGATTTATGCTGTATCAAATCGCAGCTTAAGTCAACTAAGACGCTTAAGCAAAATATTCATCACCCAATCGCGAACCAAATAATTAAAAAAAAAAAACCATGAAAAATTTCATCACGGAAATGTAGAAAATATTATTGTGCTACATTTACGGGTAGAAACAATATAGATTGTTATAAATCAGTCTTTCAAATAATATCTTATGTATAGCAAGTCGTATTCAGAGCACGCTCACTTTGATTTGATCTTATTTGAGGCTTCGCACACGTGATTCTTTTTTACTATAGACACTGAATATCATAACATTAAAAAAAAAATTCGTACATTAATGTTTTATGAAATCACCAGTGGCCCGCTCTGACTTCGCACTGGATAGATGGTAGACAATAAGATAAATTAGTATTTTAAATTGATATTTTACTTGGACCAGTAGAAGGCTGTTCACTCACACCACGGCATTTTTCTTGCTTTTACCATTTTTAGTTCAGTCGTAATTTATAAACGAAAGGTCTGATTCGAATAATTTAAACAGAAATTTAGATGTACATAACTTTGATTGTAAAACTAATTATATATATAATATTATGATATGATTTATCATCATGTTTTGATTCTACTCGTATTTAATCCATTGATTTGAACAAAAACCTTTTATTGTGTTATTATAATACATAGTTAGATGTCTTGAGATTTTTTTTTGTGGGAAATAATAAGTACTATAAATGTGTAATACATTATTTTATGTATCATCAACAGTCTTCACAGCGCGTGCTAAATAATGACTTTTCCAAACAAGTTTATGATATCTTGAACTACGTTACGTTATTGTACTTTTCCTAAAGATCTATATTCTTTTTTAATAAAATAAATAATAAATTAATAATTTATAGCCTATGTTACTCACTGATAAAATAGTTTTCTATTGATGAAAGAATTTTTGAAATCGATTAATTAATTTTTGAGTTTATCCATTAGAAAAAAAAAATTTTTCCTTATAATAATAGTATAGATATAGATAGTTGCTATTCATATCTATAAGCGACAGTTATCATTTTCGATCACGTGGAACGTCAACTTGTTTGTCGTTCCAGGGTGTATACAAATTAAAAGACTTTTGGCGAATTAGTACGAATCCACATTACCCTAGTTCACAGAGGTGGCTAAGCACAAAAGTTAGGATAGGTACTATGACGTTTATGGGACTATTCACAATAAGCGACTGTTGCCAATTTTTATTAGATGGGCTGTTAGCTCGTTTACTATTATGAGATGCAGGGTATATAAAAAAATCTTATTATTAATACTGACGAGCATCAATTCTGTACCAGAAGAAAGGTTATATATTTTACACAATGACCTTATAGAATGTTTCCTTCGTAACACCCTTCATGTTAAATGCAAGACCCCAATTAATTCCAACAAAAAAATCCAAAGCTTGAATACCTAAATACACTACAAAAGATTCTTTTCTACGCTTTCCGACAATGACTTCTACGAATGTTGTCGCTGGTGATTGTTGACATTTGGTGGAGTTAGGAATTCATCTTTATAAATGACAATGCGGAAGATCACGCTCTTACATAGGTTTTAATAATATTATTTATAAGATATTTTTAAATTATAACGACATTAGAATTGCCTTTTCGCATTCTGTGGCATATGGCATCGAATTTACAGGGTACAGAGAAATAACACCATTCTAACTTTATATCCATGGTACTGCTCATGTTTATAGGCAACGGTTACTACTTTCTATCAGGTGGGCCATCAGCTTGTTTAGTATTCTAAGTTGCATAAAAAATTCTCTAAATATGTTATATCTCAAAAATTGAAATTTTAGTTTGACAGTTTACCGAAACATTAATGTTACATCGAACTCTACTTATAACGTAGGCATAACTCAAATCTTTTCTTTTTTTTTATACAACTTAGAATGGCAAACAAGCTGACGGCCCACCTGATGGAAAGTAGTAACCATCGCCTATAGATATGAGCAGTACCATGGACATAACAGGGTATACTGTTTCGCCCATGATACTCCCCATACGTTGCCATTCCGGAGGACTCAGCTGTTATTCCTCTGTACCCAGTAAATTCACGCCATATACCACCCTTCAAACCGAAACACAGCATCTACTACAAATTTAATTTAAACCCGTTCATAAATTAATAATAGCGCAGTATTCTTACATTCTATTTTTAGTTTTACAGATAAAAGCATCTGAATCAACTCAATTGATTCCTTGAAAGTAAGATAAAAAATACAATGTCTGTATTGCAGATGACATTGTTCGTGTCTATAAGTAGTGGTCACCACTTTCTGTCAGGTGGACTATCAGCATGCCGATTCGTGTTACTTGAAAAAAGTTATTCAGTTTCATTAATATTACTTATTAGGTTTCAATTCTTATTTATAACTTATCCTGCGGCTTCAACCATGTGAATTAGTATATATGTAACGTATCCTATGCGCTAAATTAAGATATAGCCTTAGATTATATAGAGCATCGAGCCTCAAAAATGGGTCAATTAGTTGTCAGCTAATTGTCAAATTAGCTGACTCGTTTTTCTTATCAGTGTTCTATATATTTACGCATAAAATGTATCTTGACATATTATTTAATAAATAAAATGAGTGTTTATGCATTAAAAAGGTGCAGAATTTATAAGATAAAATAAATATAGAAGTTATAAAGGAATCACTTATAACTATTTATCACGCAAAATTATATATATATATATATATATATATATATATATATATATATATATATATATATATATATATATATATATATATATATATATATATATATATATATATATATATATATTCTTTATTGCACTAAAACATACAGTAACAACAATAAGTTAATAACAATGTTAGCAAAGGAGAACTTATCTCTAGAAGAGATCTCTTCCAGTCAACCTAACACAGTGGCATAGGAAGTAGTGAGTGGACAGTAGTAGCGCAAAACAGAAATTAAAATAAATATTTACATAAATAATAAATCATTGTATATATATATATATATATATATATATATACATACACACACACACACGTACACAATTATATGAAAAAGTTGACCCACTTTTCTCGAAGCATTTGTGTGGAGATACTCTATGTATATAATCTAAAGATATTATGTACCTGTGTACTAAATCTTTAAGTCTGTTTAGTATTTTTTTCACATCCATGCATCCATCTATGTTTACAAACTTTTCCATTTATAACATTAATAGAGTACTTAGAGTATTCTGTCAATATATAATATTAGCCGTGTGGTCCCGGCATAGAAAGAGCTACTCTGTACTCTCTACCTTTACTCTAAGTGTAAGAGATGACTAAAGGAACTGAATAGTCGAAGGATGGGCAGCAGCGTCTTTCTTAAACATCACTAAAAGCCTAACTACGGTTGTCAAACTACCTGCTAAGCATGGCAACTATTGACAAAACCCCCGTTTATTACACCTGTCTTCCATTAGGGTGGACAGAAAAAATGGAACACCAAACCAACCAACCAAACCAATTTCGATTTCAACAAGCCTTTTCCTTTATCGTCCACTGGTGAACATAGGCCTCTTTCATAAGAGGGTTTTGCTAGTAGTTGCCACGATTGGCAAGCGGGTTGCAACTGCAGTTAAGCTTTCGTGGTGTTTTAAGAGGGACGCTGCTGCCTATTTCTCAATCATTAAGTTCCCTTAGTCGTCTCTTACGACACCCGCGGGAAAGGAAACGGTAGTCCATTGTTTGCCATATTCCAAATATATAATGACAAAATGTATTTAAAAGCTTTAATGTTTCTACAGGCAGCTGAAAGTGGCAATGTAGAGGATTTTATGCGGTTGTACTTGAGCGAGCCTTCCCGCCTCGCTGTGAGGGACGCTCGGGGCCGCACCGCCGCCCACCAAGCAGCTGCAAGGAATAACACCAATATATTGCATTTTATCAACAACTACGGCGGAGGTGAGCATATCTTCATGTCAATAATATTATTTATATTTATAGTTAGTGACGATGATATTGGTGGTCTAGCGGTTTAACATACCACTTCAACACTGCAGGTTCGATCCCTGCACATTACAAATATTTCTATGTACAATATGTTACATATTAACAAAAAAAAAAAGTAAAAATTCCAATAAAAAATAACCTATACTGTTTTTTTTTTAGATTTGAACGTCAAGGACAATAACGGCAATACACCTCTCCACGTGGCAGTGGAGAACGAAGCTCTTGACTCTATAGAGTTTTTATTGCAGCAGTAAGTACTATAATAATATATTACAGCTCGGCTTTATTAGCGTATGATAATGTACTTACAATGTAAATATATCTTTTTCAAAGGGGCTGATATCATAAAAAACTAAACTACGTAAAATATGTGTTGAAATATTTTTACATTAAATTTTAACAAAAATTAAGTAAATCTTATAAATAAGCCACTGTAGTCACTTAAGTAATTTTAGTATTAATATCTGTTTGTTACGTCTATAAAATGATTGTACATATTTTAACAATATTTGTTAATCTAGTAAAATATTAGCCAAATTTAGAATCGACTCAACGAACTACTAAATACAGCTTGAACCCCCCATTATATGAAGTCGCATATAACATAGAAGTTTTTTTAATTGGTTATTATCATGCAAGGAAGCTCCTAGACCATGATCTCTAAATAAATAAATTACGATATTAATTAAGTTAGTAATAGTTTAGTTTTAGTCTAGTAAATGAACGAATTTGAGAGAATAAATAGTATGATGCAATTGTTTATATCACAACTGCCATTTATTGAAACGTTCATAGTCTGTGATAACCACTTACCATCAGGTAGGCCGTACACTTGTTCGCCGCTACAAAAAAGATTATATTAGATTAGATTTTAGATTAGTCTCACCAGAAGGACTTTGTACAAAAGTCGATTGCTTGGGTACCTCTGTCCCATTCGTGTTTCTACCGTGAAGCAGTTGTGTTTGCATGGCTGTGTTTCGGTTTGAAGGATGGGATATGGCGTGAATTTACAGGGTACAGAGGAACAACACCTGAGTCCTCAGGAATGGCAACGAATGTGGGGTATCATGGGTGAAACAGTATACTCTGTTGTGTCCATGGTACTGCTCATGTCTATAGGCGACGGTTACCACTTTCCATCAGGTGGGCCGTTAGCTTGTTTGCCATTCTAAGTTGAATAAAAAAAATTACACAATGTATCCCAACGGGTAAATTATAATTTGTTTCCCAAAATTTTTCATCTAATAATCAAGCCATTTATGTAAAAACATAAATAATTCAACTTTAGGTACCTATTTGTGAATAACTTCAACAAATTACCTAAACGCTCTTGAAAGGGAAAGTTAGCCAATCAGTAATTTAGGTGTTTTTGAATAATTTCAGTTTCTATTTCTCAACACCAATTAATAATGAAATGTTACGGAATATTCACTTGAATCGCGACGTCACTTTTTGTATACAAAGTGTAAGAAAATGCGCCTCTAAGTGGCAATTTCGTTTGTCTTTGTCCTCTTTTCCGGGGGTCAGAATATAATCAAGTGCCTTCTGTTGCAGGCACGTTGATACAAGTGTACTGAATGAGAAAACCCAGGCGCCTATACATTTGGCGACGGAGTTAAATAAGGTAAGTTTTTATGTAATTCTAAATAATATAACACGTATTTTACATGCAGTATGTCTTAACAATATTCTTGTATTATTTAATTTCTTTTCTTTTCTTATTATTCTAATATGATTTCTTACAACTTTAGAAGGTGTAAGAGAAGTAATATATAATTTATAGGCATAGTAGTTATATATTATCACAGTAAGATGGTTAAAGGGAAAACGGTTCATTAACATAAGTAACATTTTTTTTAACAGACAGTAATAGAAAGATATCCCTATATACGTTAGTGGAGCACCAGTGCGAGATGTTAGGTGAGGTTGAAAAGTCGAGTCAGTTAGCCTATTGTGATGAATTTACTTGGTACTGAACACTATCGTTTCTAGGAGGAATTGCGAGAAGATCGATCTGACAGGGTGTATTGCTAGCAATGTGGCTATTAATCCCCATTATTGACAATTCCTTTTTCCCCTACTAATTTATTACAATCTTGTAATATAAGTATCTTACTGGACTAATTTAATACAATAGTTATAAATCAAGGAAAAGAGATTATTATTAATGCGGACTTCTAATTCCATTGTTAATATATACCCTATTAGATTGACCTCCTCGCACTCCTCCTTGGAAACCATCGTGCTGACCTCCAAATGTATTTATCATATATATAGCGGGCGAACTGATCTGCCTTTTCATTCACACCTATCATACCTCACTGGTGCCTTGCCAGCGTATACCGTTAGTGCAGGCGAGGTAACCAATCCATCATCATCTGTATTATAAATCAGTTATAAATCAACCAAAGGATAAAATAAGACAACGTAACTAGGTATTATTATATTTTTTGATATAGATGTATATCATGAATTGCTAGCCTAATGGATAAGCGTTGAAGTACATGACCAAGTATTAAGATGAATACATTATAGATATTTTTATTCAAGACTGGCTAGTAATCGAGGCTAAGGCGTTGTATGAATATTTATGCTCACAACTTGAACTACAACCGAATGAATTTCTAAAGTTAAAAAACTGTTGAAAGTTTTTGACAGTCTATTGTTATTATATATTATATGGAGTAATAATTACTAAACCTGTTGTTACTAGGATTTATTTTTTGTCTTCTTCATTATTATTATAAGCCTCTCCCGTAGACTGCATGGGAAACGCCCCTGAGCTACCTGCATTCACACTATCCATCAAGCAATCAGCCATTTTAACCTTCTGCAAACCGACATTCTGGATATCATCGGTATATTATCGGGTGACTAGCTCTTTGGTCGTTATTCGTCTTGGTATGCGGTGTTAACGACGCTGTGTACTCTCCATAGAACTTCTCAATCTCACTAAAAATCTCAGATAAGGCGGAAATTATATCACCGGTATCGGTCTTCAATTTGTCAGTTGGCTTCGCCCAATAGCCAAATCTCTGACAAACACTTTGGAGTCTTGATCTCGCTCTATTGCCTGTTGCATGCACATAGTATTGAATTGGCGTATATCATAACATATATATTACTCTAGATTTTAATGAAATTTGCTTATTAAGCTACCTATATTTAGACGTAAACGTTGAAGATTTGGACCACAATTCACGTCGTTTTCTCATAATATATAAAATCTAGAGTATGATCAGAGATTGAATAAAGAATTGAATAAAATTGATTATAAATATTATATCATTATTCACCTTTCTGCGGCGATAGGTTAGGTATGAAATATTCTTTTATATCCTATCCAAATGTCATAAGTGATTCTTCAACTTCAATGGTTACAACGAAACGTAGTCACAAATTTTTCACGGTAGTCAATATTCTCAAGCAAAAGACCTATTTCAATAAATCATAGGTCTTTGCCATCTGAGTGCACGCGACTCGGTTTATTTTAGTAAACCTGTGTGTTTTGACTTTTGATTATAAGCATAACTTGACTCAAAAGTAGGACAGAAGATAAAAGGATGTAATTGATTTTGTAATGTTATAATTGATTCGAACTTAGGATATTAATGACTAATTATATGCTATCACTACTTTATCGACAACGATTTTAGAAGTAAGAAAATCCTATGAATCTAACCATTTCTATAAGTCGTATTAAGATAAAACATATACCAGTTTTTAAGTTAGTCAGAAATATAACTGGTTTACAGTTATATTTCTGACTAACTTAAAAACTGGCATTCAATTGGGTGAAGTAGTTTTTGCGTAATGCCAGAACAATTATACAAACAGACTGGTAGAAAGATAGACAAAAAATCTAAAAATAATTGTTTTCCCATCTTATGCCTATTAAGACCTCCAACTTGATCTTTTTTTAAATATCTTCTATGTATAGACATCGTCTAGTTACAACTTTATTATTCTGTTATATTAGTACGATGTAAATAGATATAAATTTTTAGATAAATTGGTACCTCTTTGCACTCTGGCGACCACTGTGATATAGTGGTGAGTACATCGCTTTTGAAATTTATTTTGAAATTTAAATTTATTTGTTATAAAAGTAGTACATAAATTATTTTTTATGTTTATGTAAATGAAGTCCAGAGGTCAATTTCTAGTCGAGACGATTTAGAAAACATTTTTCTGAATTGATTTAGATTTAGTGTACTGGCTTCTGCCTTCAAGTATTCATGAGTTCCTCATAGTACAGGGTACCTTAGCTTGACCGCTAGAAGATCAGTGTGATAGTGTAGCACTTATTTATTTTTTCATTTATCTTACACTTTATGAAAGAGATTTTTACCATATTTATAAATATATCTGTAAGTTCCCTACATTTCGATAAGATGACATCTCATTTTTTTGTTTAAAAATATACAATAGATATGATTTAAAATATTTACATACTCTAACACTGATTAGCTTATTAACATATATCGCATAGCATAAGACGATGGGATTAGATGCAAAAAGTTTTTTGTCTTGACATTCATACTGGTTTTGAAAATTTCAATTCAGGCAAATTATCGTAATTTATTTAATGATCGTGTTAATTCCTCTCATTATTAAAATATAAAACGTGCAGTATGAAAATCTAAAAAAAAAGTTAATAAATTTGAACTCAGTTTCTTTAAAAAAATATTGAAAAAACATAATGTCTTTTGCTAACCAACAAGAATGGAATATAATATATTCATGTTAATGCAATATCTCATAAAGTAAGCACAGCGGAGGCAAACTAAGTAAAGAGGATTACAAAATAGATAAACAAGCAAGTGAAGCGGCGACATTCTGGATTATAAAAGACAAACGATGGATCAACCAGCAGTTTAAGAGTGATATTCTTAGATTAAGTAATTTAATGATCGCAACCCTCTTAAAACATCACCAAAAGCAAACTGCGTGTAACAATCCGCCTACCAAGCATAGCAACTACTGGTAAAACCTTTTTTTTTTTGAATGTATATGGTTGATAAAACATATCACTAGATATGTTTTATCAATCATATACATTCACGTTTCATTTTTTATATTTAAAAATACAAGACTGTACACTCACTGGAAGTGAATATAATATTTCTAGTAACTCCAATAACTACTGACCTGAATATCGATACAGCCTTATGTAAGCATTTGCTTTGGCGAAAAATATCCTGTAACATCAAAGGATCGACGTTGGTCTAGTGCAACTAATTTTAAATATTAATTCATCGATAAAGGAGGATGGATCTAGACGGAGAGTTTGTAGAAAAATCGTCTGTCGCATTGCTGTTTCTGCCGCAAAATGTGCTTATATGACCGTGTTTCAATATCACAGGCAAGATATAACAGTGAAATTATATACCGTGTATATTCAGAGACATAATACCATACTCCTCAAGAATGCCAATCTAAGTGTATCATGGGCATCACAGTGCATTTTGTGATTTATTTTAAGCGTAATAACGTTTTTACAAAACCATTACAATTTCTGCATCAGAACTGAAAAAGAAACACGAGAAGATGAGATGATGAAAGCCGTCGGAATGTTACAAGCTGATTCTTGGCAACGTACTGTGACTGTCGCTCTTGGAATTACACCGAACGTCATAATCCACGTCTGAATACGCTATCGTATCTCAAGTAGTGTTTTCGCGTGGTTACGTGGACGATCTTATATCACCACTCGCAAACAGGACCGATACATACAAAATACTGCTCGACAGAATCGTACGATGCCCGCCATGATGTTGGTTAAGAGGCTTCACAATTCTTCAGGCTTACTGATAAGCAAACAAACCATCCGAAATCGTGTACGTAAAGTAAGTCTACATTCTCGAAGGCCGCTAAGATTTCCACTTATAGGATCTTGCAATCGTAGGGCCCGTTTAATATGGGGTCGCGAATTCAGGAATTGGGAGAAAGAAGACTGGCATTGTTTTTGCTTTGCTGGCGAATCTCGTATCAATATGAAGCCAGATACAAGACGTACTCGAGTTTGGAGAATCTCTGAATGTTAAGAACCTTTGAAATTTTGGCCGGAAGTTAAATCATATGGAGAGGGCACAATAAAGGTTTGAGCAGGTGTTTGAATCGATGGAAGAACCAATCTGATTTGGATCAGGGGCAACTTCATTGCTGAGATTTATGCAGAGAGTGTTGCTTTAGATGTTATTATGAATGCTAATGTCTATAATCAAGACTTGTAGTTTTTGTTGATTATTTTGATATTAAAGATAATTTGAAGCGAAATTTCTATATTGGCTTGAAAATTTCTATAATGGTTATATTTATTTTTTATCGATATAATAATAATAATTTATAATTACTTTTGTCTTCATTCTCTTGTATTGTATAAATTTGTAAAAAGTACATACTGGCAAGAAACAATACGATTGTGTAAATTATACTTAATTTATTCAAGAAAATGTTACTCACTAAATAAAATTGGAGAAAAAATACTAGGTGGTGTTAGAATCGAGATTTGCATTCTTTGTTGATTAAACTGTAATTGAAAAATTTGAAGTAAGATTTCTAGATTAAGAAGTGAATTTTTATTTTCTTATTTGTTATTTCACAACCGTGTACGGTTGTGAAAGAATTATGACCCACACAATCGCAATGCTTCTTGCTAGTATATGTTTTTATTACAAGGTATACAATTAATTTTAGATAATAATTTTAGTACGTATTGTGGTAGCAGTATTGTGGTAACATTATTACATAGCATTTATCTTTAATTATTATTAAGAAACACAACTAAATAAAAAAATATTATTATTAAATTTCATTACAGACACAGTAAACGAAACCTACCTACTATTAGTAATTAAATTAATATGCTATAATTCTGATAAATTGATTGATTTTGTTTTTACACGTCTACGACGACAGAGACGTTTTCCTTCTTAGTAATAATAATAAGCAATTAATAACAGTATTACTAATGAGTCTTAGTAACATTTGCTCAGCAGGAAATCGTAGGTGTTATAACCTCTACATAAATATCGGCAATCAATGGTTAAGTACGCAAACTACGAAATAGGTGACTTTGCTTTATAATAAATAAAAAGTATATTATAGCTTTTTTTTTTATACAACTTAGAATGGCAAACAAGCTGACGGCCCACCTAATGGATAGTGGTAACCATAGCCTATAGACATGAGCAGTACCATGGACATAACAGAGTATACTGTTTCGCCCATGATACCCCCCATACGTTGCCATTCTTGAGGACTCAGGTATTATTCCTCTGTGCCCAGTAAATTCACGTATTCAGCGTACATTCAGCTATGCAGTTAATTGTAGGGGAGTGTCGGTAGGTAATTAAAAAATATTTTTTTAAATCAACCGACAATCGAACCTGGGACGCATTTACGCAAAACCTACCAGTACTGCACGTAGTTCATTAAATAAACTTAAATATAAGCTTTTTTTGTGAATCTACCACCTAATTCAGAATTCAATTTAAGAACAAGCAAAAACTCCGCTGTTGCTTTTTTCAAACAAATTCTAAGTTTATAAAAAAAAAGTGAATAGACAAAATTAATATCATAAATTTCATATATCAGCAGTCTTCTTGAACAGACAAGAAGCATCCATTCACGAGTGGGACGGATGAGCTGTCGCTGTGTTTAAGAATATTAACTTATGTAGTACAATGTATATAAGTAGGGGAACTAAGGAGGTTGGTTTCGTATTACTAGAAATATTCTTTGGAAATTATATTTAATTCTTGGGAGCTCTTAATGGAATTCATTCATGAGGAATTCAGAATGGGTTAGTGAGTCAACTGACATGACTTCATTCATCCACATCCACACCTATCACCCTCTAGTATCCCATCAGCCTTTACCAATAACGTAGTCAGAGTTACCATTCTGTTTGTCCAATAAATATTTTTTTTCTTCAGATATCAGTGTTACAAGTATTCGCGAAATACAAGTCCCAGTTCGACGTTGATCTCGGCGGGGAACACGGCAGGACAGCTCTGCACTTTGCCGCGATCCACGATCACGACTTGTGCGCCCGTATTCTGGTAACTGTCTTTATTCTTTTTTATATTTTATCTATAAATTCATCAATGGTATACTTAAAACGAAATTGCAACATAAAGAAATACCATAGGCATAGTTTTCGTTGCTGTATGCTCCCGTTATAGAATAGGCCACTCCTTCCTTACCCGTGGGTGTCGTAAGAGGCGTTAGAGGGAACTTATTAGTCGAGAGATAGAGAGCAATGCCCATCTTAAAACATCACCAAACGCTAACCGCAGTTGCCAACCCGTCTGCCAAGCGTGACAATTATTGGCAAAATCCGCCTTTATGCGGGACCTGTTAACTGTCCTTTGCTGAACGTAGGCATTCAGCAATGAGCAGTTAACGACAGATGAGCATATCGCAATAAAGGGGCCTGTTTCATAGGTTATAAAATTTCCTTTTAACTTTATTTCTTCATAAAATAGAATACCTATAACCTTTGTTTACAAATCCTTGTTTACTTTATTTGCCAGCCATCGCAATAAACAGAGACTTAAATGTAAACCAATTCGAGGAAATAATTAAAAAATATGAAAAGCAATTTTTTATCCTATTTTATTATTTTTTAATATTTTTAACATTTTATCGCTGGTTGGTGAAATGATGCTAATTATCAATTCCACAAATAATCGAAAAAACAAAGTAAATTGAACGCAAAAAAAAAATTATGAAAAATAGTAGGCATTTTAACTTGTAGCAGCCCGGCATAGATGGTGCGAGTTCAAATTCCGCATGCTTCGAATATTTTCGATCACACGATATTTGGATTTTTTAATAATATCAATTAATTCTCCTTTCCACTCTGGGTTTGCTGGAAGAGAACTCTTCCAGTGTTAACTTCGCTTGTTGTATACCTTTGTTCAAAATAATTTATATTTATGTAAGCATAATTGCTTAAATAAGGTACGAGTATAATGGTAAGATATAAATAAATAATATTTCTATAATATCAAAATCTTTACAATTTTACCATTATTGTGCTTTAGTCATTCGATGTATCGAAAATTGCGAAAAATTTGTTAAAAAAAAAATACATTTTTTATAGTATGTGCTTTACTTTACCGACCTAGACATACCAGTAACCTGTGAAGTTATATTTTAGGTAGTAATTGTAAATTAATCTAGATTCTATACAAATAGATTACGGATTTGGGTGCTGTATGGAAACGGCCCTGTAACAACGGATACTATCCAATACACGAGGCGGCTAAGAACGCATCATCCAGGACCATGGAGGTGTTCCTGCAGTGGGGAGAGGCAAGGGGGTGTACCAGAGAGCAAATGATCTCTCTCTACGATAACGAAGGAAATGTGCCGCTCCATTCAGCAGTTCATGGTGGAGACATCAAGGCAGTTGAGCTTTGCCTTAGATCAGGCGCAAAGATATCCACCCAGCAACATGATTTATCGACACCCGTTCATTTGGCTTGCGCTCAGGTAATATAATCATTATTTATAAAATTTTGTTTGATTTACAATGTTTGTTTATTGTTTAGTTTGCTTGTTATTCTGTTTGTTTAGATCTAATCTTTCAAGCTGAAATAGAAACAATTCGTCCTAATCGATTTTACTTGAATTTTACATACATTGTAGTTCTGGAGACATTTTTTTTATTTTTATTTTATTTTTATACAACTTAGAATGGCAAACAAGCTTACAGTCCACCTGATGGAAAGTGGTAACCGTCGCCTATAGACATAAGCAGTACCATGGACATAATAGAGTATACTGTTTCGCCCATGATACCCCCCATGCGTTGCCATTCCTGAGGACTCAGGTGTTATTCCTCTGTACCCAGTAAATTCACGCCACAATACAAATATGTACTCGACATTATAATATGTTCAAAATGGCCGTCACCACAAAATGGCGGATGGTGTATATTATTTCTATCTAATTAATTATAGGTATCAAATGAAAAGGTTTGAACAGTAGGTAACGATAAAATAAATGACATAATTTTAAAATAGCTGCAGCTTTTTTTTTTAATATTTTTAAAGAGTCTTATTTCATTATTATTTTTTTTAGATTTCTTTTAATGTATTGCTGTCATTAGTTTAGGCATAAATATTATAATATAAAAGGCATATATAAACTTTTACGTTACATTATTTATAGCTATAAAGAATATTAAAATATGTACATGATATAAAGACTGTATAAAAAAAAAAACTTTATAATTGATTTTCGTAACTTCTCGTTGATATCAACTTGTTATTTCGTTACCAAGGTTGATAATATTAATATTAGTTACTAACGTCATATTTTTCCCTTATACAAAATTTTATTTAAACCGCCTAGATTAACAAGTGTCTGTTGTAACTTTGTTATGTTTTAAACGATCGTAATGTCTGTAAATCTTTAAACAGTCTACTGCTCATCATTACTTTGAATAATTTATTTAAAGGAAAAGAAAAATATCATTAATTTTATATTCGTTATAGAAAAATATAAAAAGGTTACAAAGTCACCTTGAAGTCTGTTCTTATTTTTAATTGCGAGTTTAACTTTTAATTGAGTTTTGTTTGTAAAAAAATAATGTTACAAAATTGTTAAACTTTAGATATTATTTTGAAAGGAAAAAATATTAAATATTATCATCAACCATACCTCGTTTAAATTTTTTTATTGAATCCTTTTTTCAAAAAATAATGTTTACAAGAAACTTTATATAGAAAATATATAACGTAAGTCTGTTATATGTTTTCTATGTATAGTCTATGATTAGCTATATGCTAATAAGAACAAAAAGTTTTACTGATAAAATTGTAACTAATATATAAATATATTAGTTACATTAGTTATTATATAAGTGATGAAAAAAATATTTGAAGGTTCTTAATAACAGTAATGAAAGACAAAATAATATTTTTTAGGATTTTTGTGTGTCTATATGTTTGTTCCAGTAATACGCAAAAACTACTACACCAAATTAGATACGGTTTTTTCAAAAAATAATGTTTACAAGAAACTTTATATAGAAAATATATAACGTAAGTCTGTTATATGTTTTCTATGTATAGTCTATGATTACTAGTATATAGCTAATAAGAACAAAAAGTTTTCTGATAAAATTGTAACTAATATATAAATATATTAGTTACATTAGTTATTATATAATTGATGAAAAAAATATTTGAAGGTTCCTAATAACCTATTCCTAAGTTCCTAATACGCAAAAACTACTACACCAAATTAGATACGGTTTTCATAGTTTCATTCCTGTAGGTTAAACTTAAAATATCATGTATGTTTTATTTTGATACATCATCTAAAAATGATTACCGACTTCCAGAATCGACACTTACGAAGTTGTGGACAAAAGCTATTTATAGATTGACATATTTTTCAGAATTTATATTGATATTTGATATTCAATATTAATGTAATTTATTATATATTGGATTATTGACATGACACAAATATATTCTTATTGTTTTATTTAATATTCGTGCTCTTTTGCTGAACACGAGATTTAGTAATTTTGAACTCTCATTTCTTTCCAGGGTGCACTAGAGATTGTAAAATTAATGTTTACAATGCAACCCAAAGAGAAATTGGCTTGCTTGACATCTTGCGATGTACAGAAGATGACGCCGATACACTGTGCTGCCATGTTTGACCATCCGGATATTGTAAACTACCTAATATCCGAAGGTTCCGATATAAATCCCTTGGATAAGGAGAGAAGGTCGCCATTACTCCTTGCGGCATCCAGAGCGGGCTGGAGAACTGTTCATATACTGGTGAGTTAGTAAATTATTTATAAATGTCTTTTAATCCCGACAGGTATTGATGTTTCACCAGTGAGAGGCTATGTACAAAAGTTTTTTTTTCATGGGTGATAATGAAATTGTAATACCATTTGTACTAACGGTATATGCTGATGAAGTACCAGTGAGGGATGATAAGTGAGGATAAAAAAGCAGTTCAATTAAACCATTGCGATCACTTGGAATTAAGCACGGTGGTTTCTAGGGGGGAACCCGAGAAGATCGGCCTGATAGGGTATATTGATAGCAAAAGGACTGACAAAAAAAATGTCTGCATGGGTGTTTCTGTATCACAAAGCAGTATTATTTTAATATGGCAGTGAATCAAAACCACTACATAAGTGATACTACGGGAATTACAATATATTCTGTGGTCTCCGTCGTGTTGTGTGTTGTACACTTTTATAAACGACAATTACCGTTGCTAAAGTGTTATTTACAATAGTAATATTATACTCCCAAGAGAGTACACATTAATTAAAATAAGAACTTTACTAATACTCCTCCCTTTAACTCTTGTATATTGTAACCCTATTAAAAGTTGTTGGTAATAAGCAAGTAAACAAACAGGTCGAACAAATAATTAATAAAATTTTGTATTATTGGCAATTAAAAAGTGTTATTTTTGAAGTTCTCTAAATAGTTTGTCTTCTCAATTAGGTACAACGACAAATAAGAAACAGGAATAATATTTCAGATTTATATTTAAATAAGATTCATATTCATATTTTTTCACATAATATATCATATACTATATAAAGGGTCCTTTGTATGAGACCCATTGTATTACTTGAATTTGACCCTTATTAGCGTATCTTTTGAGAAAAATAGGATTCTATTTTGAAATGTGTAACAAAAAAAATTGCATTCAATTTCACATGGGAAGAATGTACACAATAGAACATTCTATACATACTTAAATATGTATTTTCAAAAATAAAATAACATCGAACATTCAGCAACATTCAAGGAGTTATTAAGGAAATCCATTTATTTTTTCGGAAATTGAAAACTTCAGACATTGCTTTTTTATATATGATACAGAAAATGTATAATAAGTAAAAAAAAAAGTTATTGTAAAATTGTTTACATATATATCTTTTGCATTCTATTATGCAATATTAAAATTAACATTTGTATTACGGCTCAATGATATTATTATAAATAATTATAAATTATAAGTAAACATGACGTCGTTCTTAAAGCACTATAACGTATTTTTATTTGTCTTAAAGAATTTTTTTTTATCGATCGTACGGTTGTATCAATATAATACGGATTTAACTCAAAATAGAAGGCTTTAACTGAATTACTCATTTAAAGAAATGTAGATTTCACAACTTAAGACAAATCAGAACTTAAGGAAAATCTTAATCCTTAGGCAATACTCGTATGCTCTCAAAGAATAACAATTTCTTTATGGATTTTATTTATTTATCATTACTATCCAGTATCCCTGATAAGACTTAGTACAAATTTTATTACTTTATTTCTATTTTTCTTTCTAATTTTATTTATAATTCAACAGATTAAACTGGGAGCTGATATACAACTTAAGGACATCAATTCGAGAAACGTTCTTCATTTGGTCGTAATGAATGGTGGGCGACTGGAGGAATTCGCGGCTAATTGTAAAGTAAGTAAATCTTTACTTATAATATATATCTTTTATATCTTTTATCATTATGTTACAAGGCAACTGAAAAACTGTGGTCTGGAAAATAATAACATATACGTACTATACATCTTTCACATAATTATTCACGAACATACTCGTACTCGCATTCATTTATACTTCTGCATAATTCCATAATTTAATAAGCAACTTGTTATTTCTCTTATATATATTTACATATATTTAGTAATATCTTATAATTGCTTGTGCATTATAATTGTTTGATTTCACTAATGTTAAAAGTTTTAGAATTACCTGATTAGTAAATGATCATTATGCCAATTTTATATTTATTTTTATTAGGCAATAGTTTATTATATCTGCTATTACTAATGTTTGCCCACAATTTCATCGGCATTATAGTTCGGGTTATAGTAACCTTCTCCATCGTATATAGCAAATTTCATGCCCATTGGTTCAGCAGTTAATACGCTAAGAGTTGACTAACAGACAAAAACAAACAAACTTTTATATTTTTAATATTAGTAAGTAAAAATAATACTAACTGTGTTAATATTAGTGTCTATAATTTCTACGATTGTGTTATTTCAATTTATTTCTCAGTTTATTAACAAATCTCACTTGGTTCAAGCAATGCATGGGTAAGACGTGGCGGTAAATTTACAGGGAACAGTGGCATAACACCTAAGTTCTCAGCAATAGCAATCCGTGCATGGGGGGTATCAAGGACGTAACTTTATACTCTGTTATATCCATGTTACTGCTCATGTATATAGGCGACGGTTACCATTTTCAACCGGGAGGGCCCTCAACTTGTTTACCATTCTGGCTTGCATAAAAAAAAAAGCTAAAATTGTACCTTTTTAAATAAGTTCCGTAAAAAGGAGGTTATTTATTCGATTACGAATATACTATTACGCGTTGTCTTCAAGAATTCCGATTCAATCTTAATAATTTTATTTGCGATTGATACAATTTATTGCCGTTTTGGTCGCTACCATATTGATTCTGCATGCTCGATATCATTGTTTTTCCGGAGCAAAATTCTTATATAATTCCATTATATTTATTTAATGTTTTATTCATGACTCTTGGAATATTCACAAATACATAACGAAAAAAGTTAAATATAGACTTACATATACAGCTCATGAGAGGATTTAAAAAAAATGGGAGGATAAGTCCCTTTAAATCCTGGATCGAAATTTATTTGTCTATTACTGACCACAGCCTTCTCTACAGACTGCCATAAGAAATGGAAGCGTTCCTTTTGACAGTTTACAATTTGCGAGCAGTTGCCACGCTTGGCAGTATGGCTTATGGTGAGGTTTTAAGATGGAAGTTGCTCGCTCGCCTCTTACCACACCTACGTATAAAGTGGGGGGAGGGATGGCCCATTCTATGTCACTATGGGACCACATGGCAAATAGACAATTTTTGGTAGTAATTTGTTAAACGTTACTAATAAAATAGCTGGCAATAAATTCAACAACACAACTTCAAATAGCTCAATTCTCATCTTGTATATAAAAATTAATTACATCGTCTAATGATTATTCAATATTGAAAATCTAAGATAGATTAAATCTTTACTAAACCTATTAAAGTTTATAATTAGGCACAAGAAACTTAGTGTAACCTAATTAGGTTAGTCAGTTATAAGGATAAAACTATTTGACACTTGGTTACAAGAATATTATAATTTTACTCTAGGTATATCTAATTAAATGGGTACTTAAGTTGTCTGTAAGAGATTGCTTCTAGCGATAAGGCCGCCTTTTGTATATGCACATTCTGTATAAATACTCCTTGTATACATCTCTACTGTGCGCAATAAAGAGTTTATTATTATTACTTATAATACATAAAAAGAAAGAACAAGTTAAATTTTACGTTCTGTATTGATCTCATATTTATTCAAATGATCAAATAACAAACATTTACAAGAAAAAAAGAAAAATCGCTTAAAAATTGAAGACAGATAGAAAGAAAGAAAGAAAGAAAACATTTATTGACAACAACAAAAAGTTACATACATTATGAATTAAAAAAAAAACTTTACATTTATTATTGCCAACATGGTCACCACTCAGCATGTGCTGCAGCAATTTAATTGCTACAGCGCTGATATTCTGTGGTGCCCATACGTGACATTACGAACGACGACAGCAAACATACGCATATATATATATACATATACATATATATATATATATATATATATATATATATATATATATATATATATATATATATATATATATATATATATATATATATATATATATATATATATATATATATATACACCTACACATACACATATACATACCTACATATACATACATACACACACACACACACATACACATACATATACATACATACATACACTTAACTGACAAGATATACCCATATAGATATGTACAACAATAATACAATAACAATACAACAACACTACATTATACAACGAAGCAGCAATGTTATGCAATCACAAGGAGTTACATGCTTTTTGTAGATTTAAATAATAGTTTTTAGCATAATTTTTAAAAGTATAAGTTGTTAGACAGATATAAAAAATAGAAATGAAAACCTCCTTTCTTTTGAAACTCTCTTACAAAAAGTCCTTATTAATATAATTCTTTATTATTATAATAATAATTAATTTAATGTAATTCTATTTTAATGTTTGTCAAACACAAGGCATGCTGTGGTTGCCTATAAATGTAAGAACAGTTAGATTTAATCTACCAGTGTATTGTACTAAAATGTTTAGCTGTATCTTATGTTGGTAATCCTTAAATAAATAAATAAATAAAATAATTATAATTATAATATAATTATAATTAAGATAATTCTTTAAAATCTGATCTTTGGAATTAATATAACTATTCGTACCCAACCTAACAGTATAGTCATAAAAAATGTCAATTTAAAAGATCTTGTACACAAATCTATTTGAATAAATATTATTTTTATTAAGAAAAAAATACCTACTCTACATTGCAAAAATTAAATTGTTTAAAATTTGTATTTGATGTGAACGTAATTTTTGATATCTCTACTAACGCACATACTGATGAATCGTGGAACCATACGTGACAATTCACGGTCATAAATCCAAAAGTGGGGATATTTTTGGCATTGTATATCTAGAGAAAGTTACTCTGTCATACATAATTTAGATCCAGATGATAATTGTCTCATAGTTGCGAACATCTTACGGAACTGGAGTTTGCTAAATTAATTTTAAAGTAGTGCACATCTTGCTAACTGCCGGAAAACTAATATCTTAAAGCACTGATGTATTATAATTTTGATGCTTCTGTATTCGCAATTATATTATCTTTGTATGTTAGTACTATTAGTATGTAATATTAATATAATAGAGGCAATTGTATGTATGACTGTAGATTAAAAAAAAATAATCTAGATTCACGTTCGTATAAATAAAAAATAGTTACACCCAATAGTGCTCTAAATTAAAATAATCATTAGGACATCTGAAATATAATCATCCACTATTTTCGTCCGTTAGAGTACAAATATTCAATGATTAGAAATTAGTTTCATTTGCTTGAATGCACTGGATATTCAGCAGCGTTCTTTAGTCCCCAACTGTGCATCTTGGGTTTTTTGTATATCAAAATTCATCATTTTAATATTTATTACTGACTATAAAAACTTGGTAAAAGTTACCTATAAGACAGTCTTTATAACCTAGTCTAACACTAGGTCATTGAACGTGTTATTTAGCATTGTAAATAAATATATACATATGATTATCTTGAAAGAGAAATTCAAACTATTTTAAATACAATGTTGCGCTCACAAGTAATTTAACTAAATATTTTTATATGTACGTCTAGAAATTAACTGCATGGTAGCTTCCAAAGGATTCTAATTAGATTATTTGTTGGTTAGTCTTTATTGGGTTTCAGAGCAAAACATCGAAGGCATACTTTAAAATGACGTTTAATATAATGTATGGTTTAAACATATTAAACTTAAATAATAGGAAATGTGGCTTCGATTTAGCAAAGCCATTTCTGTGATAATATAAAAAAAAAATCAAATCATAATATAATAAATAGAATTTTTACTTCATATATCACTGGGTATAATTCTTGTTATTTTTGCTAATTTTATAAATTTAAAAGTAGGTCTTTTTGTTACCTTGTGACCTCTTAGCGTAATAACTTCTCAATTAATTGCTACAATAGGACGTACGCTATTTTTTATCCCAGTTAAAGAGCATATCAAATTACGCAGACAAAGTTGTGTGAAAGTGTGTGTGTGATGTATATATACATTATTACTAGTTTATAACTAGTAATAACATATATACAAATTACTAATATTTATGAATATTTTATATCCGATGACGGAGAAAATTAAGCCGTGTAGTTCCAGCATAGAATAGGCTACCGCTTCCTTTCCCGTAGGTGTTGTAAAAAGCGATTAAGAGAAGTCGAAAGATAGGCAGCAACGTCCCTCTTAAAACATCTTTAAAGTCTAACTGCGATAGCCAATCCACCTGTTAAGCATGGCAACAACTGGAAAAACCCCCTAAAGGAGAGGTTTATGTTCAGCAGTGGACAGTTAAAGGCTGATATATGATATGATAATAAGTTTATAACTGTTTCCAACACATATAACATGTTTTCATTTCATATATCACAGAATCGCTGCGACAAAAGCCTTGCACAGCTTCTTAATGAAAAAGACAGCACCGGTTGCTCGCCGCTGCACTACGCTAGCCGGGAAGGTCACATCAGATCCTTGGAAAACCTGATCAAGCTTGGAGCTTGTATTAATCTGAAAAACAATAATAACGAGAGTCCTTTGCATTTTGCTGCCAGGTATGATTCTTGTGATTTCTTAAAAAGTTAAATAATTTAATTCAAAACAGATATGATCCCAGGTAGAAAAAAACATTGTTGTTTAATTAATTCAAAATTGTAGCAGTTATTATATGACAAAATATGTATGTTTATATTATGCAATTAGTTATAAATCTATATTCATATTTTTCCTATTTTACGTTAAAAACTATAGGTGAATGTCGCTTGAAAAATAATTAGGCATAATTACGTTGTCTCAGTGTGATATTTTTCTTATAATTTCTATTCTTCCTATTCTAATCTTTTCTTTTAGAACGAATATTAAATCAAATATCAATTAATCTATACATGATAATTTACCAGAGGGAGACTTTGTACAAAAGTCTATTGCTTGGGTACCTCTGTCCCATTTGTGGTTCAATCGTGAAGCAGTTGTGTTTGCATGGCTGTGTTTCGGTTTGAAGGGTGGGATATGGCGTGAATTTACTGGGTACGGAGGAATAACATCTGAGTCCTCAGGAATGGCAACGCATGGGGGGTATCATGGGCGAAACAGTATACTCTGTTATGTCCATGGTACTGCTCATGTCTATAGGCGACAGTTACCACTTTCCATCAGGTGGGCCGTCAGCTTGTTTGCCATTCTAAATTGTATTAAAAAAACCTGAATTAATTATTTACTATATATTTTAATTATTTAATCCTTTCAGTTTTATCAATACTATAAAAATTATTATTTCAATATTATAGAAAAATAAATATTAATTTATGTCCACGTTGATTTTTAGATACGGGCGATATCATACAGCCTGCCAGCTCCTAGACTCTGACAAGGGAACATTTATTATCAATGAAAGCGATGGGGAAGGTCTTACCCCTCTCCATATCGCTTCTCGGGAAGGTCACACGAGGGTTGTTCAATTGCTCCTCAATAGGGGTGCTTTACTCCATAGAGACCATAATGGCAGAAACCCTCTCCACCTGGCCGCCATGAGCGGATACACACAAACTATCGAATTGCTACATTCCGTTCATTCCCATCTATTGGACCAAGTGGACAAAGACGGGGTTAGTGCTTATACTTTTTATTTATTTTATTAACACTTGCTTTGTTTAGATACTTTTTGTTAGAATTTCCCAATAATTTATGTAATCATACATTTTACTACCGTGAAGTAGTTATAATTGCATGGCAGTATTTCGGTTTGAAGGGTGGGATATGACAATGAATTTATAAGGTACAGAGGTATAATACTTTAGTTCTCAGCAATGGCAACGCATGGGAGGTATCATGGGCGAAACAGTATGCCTATGGTACTGTTCATATCTATAGGCGACGGTTACAACTTTCCATCAGGTGGGCCCTCGACTTGTTTACCAGTCTGGTTTACATAAAAATAAAGCTAAAATTGTGCCTTTTTAAATATGTTCCGTAAAAAGGAGGTTATTGATTCGATTAAAAATATACTATCACTCAACTTGTTTGCCATTCTAAGTAGCCTTAAAAAAAGTCAATATAAATTACAGTCATTTACGACTGGGCGTAAAATAGACACAGATTAAATTGTAGTAGTATCAAATATTTTTTTAATAAATTTTTTTTAATATAAATAAAAAATCAAATAAAAATTATATAAGGATTTATTAACGGCTTGGCTATTTAACGTCCCCATAAAATCGAATAGTTAATACAGTAAAATAATACATAATTTTCCTTAAGGATAATGAAAATGATCCACAAAATAAACATTAGCTATAATAGGATCTTTTTAAATTTTAAAGTTGGACCAACTTAATTAATTAAATAAAAATCCCCGCAAATATTTGTAAATAAGGGAAAATAAGAAATAAAGTTTCACTTATGTAATTATTTCTTTCAGAATACTCCTTTGCATCTAGCTACCATGGAGAACAAACCAAACTCCATAGCGCTGCTCCTCTCGATGGGATGTAGACTTAGCTATAACAATTTGGACATGAGCGCTATCGATTACGCCATATATTATAAATTCCCTGAAGCTGCTCTCGCTATGGTCACCCATGAGCAAAGGTATCATCTAATCTTTCATTATGTTTTATATACGTCTAATTTTAGATTTATTTACTGTATATTTTAATAAAAGTCATTAATATTATAAATATACAAGCTTTTGTTAAGTCTTATTTTTTAAAATGAAAATAACTAAACGGATTTCAATAAATTTTGCCTTAAATGAATATAATTTACATTTGTATATTTAAACCTACATAGTTGTAGTATGGTATAATTTAGAAAGTTACATTTAAAAGCTGATAATATTGATTATATAAATACTAGAGAATTATGAATAAATTTCAGAGCAAAAGAAGTAATGGCTCTTCGCTCAGATCGTCATCCCTGCGTGACTTTAGCTCTTATCGCTTACATGCCCAGAGTATTCGAAGCAGTTCAAGATAAATGCATCACCAAAGCTAACTGCAAGAAGGACTCGAAAAGCTTTTACGTGAGTCTAATATTGTATCTTTAGTTCAATGATATGAATTACATGTATTATTAACTTTATAAAAGTTCCATTTAATCCAAGCTTCTTTAAATTATTCAAATTAATCATGCATTTCATATTTGTCTCATTTCATACTAGTGTTTAATGTTTAATTACAATTTTATAATCATTATATTCTTTGTTTATGAGCTGGTATAATTATTAAATGTATACAAATTACTAACATAAAAATGGAAATTAAATAATCTTGCCAAATTTAGATCAAGTACAACTTCGACGCACTATGTCCTCAATTGAAGGACGAAGATGGGATTAAGAAAACGGACAGTGTTCCTAAATCGCAGAAAATACCTTTGCCAGCCCTAAATGTAAGTTGTATACTAAGATACTGTAATCATTAAATATTTCTCACTTGGTACAGATTAGATACTCGTTCAAATTCTACCAACGCTCGAAACTCGAGGTAGATGCGCTAAGACTGGCACTGAATGACCCAAAATTCCGACCAGAACCGTTGTGTGTAATCAACGTGAGTGGAAAGTCACTACAGCACAATAGCTTGTCTGTCAGTCCAAGAGTGCCATGGATTTAACAAATTAATGTGTTCAAGTTGCTCATATGGTTTTGGTTGATTTTTCAAAAGCTTTAATAGAATAATGTGTGTGCAATCTAATTACATAATTTCTCGATTTGGTTTCTTTGCTATCCTTTTTCTAAACAGTTAAAGGAACGTATTTAAATTTATATGGTTTAACTAAAGCTTTTGACAAATCAAATTGTTTTGTATATATTACATAAGCAATAACTTGATGGCATTCAATCACGTTCACAAGCAATGCTTATGTCTCACTATAATACACATACGTTGATATGGTATTTGGTGGTTGGAATTTAATGTTTGCTTTATGTATTTCACTGTTGATATGCACATGTACCTGGCTTTTATATTTTATTCATATTTAAATTTGATAAAGCCGATTGGAAATAATAATATTACTATGTAAAATATGATGTTATTTATTAATCACTATTTTTTTACCATTCAATACAATTTAGTCTCAATTCATTATTATCTTACGTCCTCTTAATTGAGACTTGTATAAGCACCTCAATTAACTAAACTTATTGACCTCTAAATTATAATTTTTTGTACCTTATGTTAAATAAATTTGATCTTATATTCCTTTCAGGCTATGGTTGCTCATGGACGTGTTGAATTATTAGCACATCCTCTGAGTCAAAAATATCTGCAAATGAAGTGGAATTCTTACGGAAAATACTTTCACTTAGCAAACTTGCTATTTTACTGTATTTATCTCACATTTGTTACTGTTTATACATATCTGTTGATGACGAGTGCTACCCCCGGCGCCGTCTCTTCGCACAACAAGAAGACTAACAAATGTTTAACAGATATTTCAAATACGACTAATATTTCCGAATCACACACTCTAGAAAATAATGCAACTATAAGAAGAAATTCAGAATTTCATGCAGGTAATTTACTTTGTTTCTAGTAGTTTATTATGTGTACTTTTATGTACTTCCGCAAAAAAATTCAATTTTATTTTGTTGAAAATATAAAAAATTTCATCTCCTGATCACTGATAGTCGAATGTATTTTTTGTTGTTTCATTTCATAAACTTAATTTCTTTTTCTAGAATTTGAAATCATCGTAGCCATGTATACAAGTACAATATGTATTCTGGTATATAACGCCATCTGCTTGATTCGAGAGGCTGTCAACATAAAGGAACAGAAATGGCATTATTTGGTAGACCCATCGAACTTTGTGTCTTGGAGTCTGTACATCTGCTCCACACTTATGGTCGTTCCAACATTAGCTGCCAACTATACTGACATACAGGTAAGCTAAAATATACTTATTATTAACAATATTGTAAATACTCGTTTTTTGTCCATCATATGAATCGTTACTATAATCAGCCGTACTATAATACTAAAGTTAATAACTTCATATCTGTTAACTAATACATAATCATTACCAAATCATAACTACTACATTATCCAATTAAAGATTTAAATTTCCTATTTTTTAAATTTTTATTAAAAACATAAAATCTACTGTCAATTAGAAATCCTGTTAAAGTATGTTTTTACAAAACTATTACAATTTCTACATGAATGGAACTGAATCGATAGCATTTACTGTGTTGCTTCCATATTAATTTTGCCGTGTTTCTGGCCCCGTTTCAGACCAATGTTTTCCCTTTAATTTTATTTACAATATTCCGCGTTTTACAATAAAATATTTTCCATCTAAGGTGTCTGCATCGCTATTTTGTTATAATTGAAAATATTTTTATGCTATTTTTTTTATCATAGCATGTTTTTATCAGTGTGTGTCGATTTATGTAAATTAATTTCCTTATTTCTTTCTTCACAGTTTTCAGCGGCGTCTCTAACAGTGTTCCTGTCGTGGTTCGAGTTGCTGCTGCTCCTTCAGAGATTCGACCAAGTTGGAATCTACGTGGTGATGTTCCTGGAGATCTTGCAGACCCTCATCAAAGTGCTTATGGTCTTCTCCATTCTGATCATAGCATTTGGATTGGCATTTTATATTCTACTCTCTAAAGTGAGCTTCAGTGAGACTTTATTTTTACATACAAATTTATTATGTACAAATTTTTTATTCTATTCATATATAAAAATATGATCGTGCTAAGTCTACATATATAATTTTCACATTTTTTATTTTTCATGCACATTATAACAAGGTCATAATCTTGTTAACTCACTTCGTTAAGTTTTGTATCTTCACAGTCGATACATTTGCGTTTGTTCGAAACAAACATTAATAATGTCAAACATACTCGTTTATACCTACCAGACCCTATGTATGTAGACCTACCAAATCACGGCTTGCAATCATGACGTCATGAAAACTATAATCATTTAGGGATTTATATCAAAAAAATAATTTTTAAATATTTTTGTCGACTCATCTAATTATTCATCAATTGACTTTTTTCCTAATAACTATATAATAATTAATTGTCGCTATTATTAATATTTCATATATTTTGATACTTAATATAATATCAAAAATTACTTACTAATTTATGAATAATTTTAAAAGTCAAGACTGAATAACTGGATGCTGAGTCGAAATATTAGCAAATGCGAATTACAATTGCGAAGCGAAATGATTCTATGTTTGCTCTAGCGGTGTACCATTAAGGGATGATAGACAAGGATAAATCAAGTCATTTAATCCATCATGATGAATTCAACAGGAACTAATCACAATAATTTCCAAAATCTTATCTGAAAAGATATACCCTGACCATTGTTACTTATGGTATTGCTAAATCGAATTACAAACAACTTTCTCTTCCTAACGACAGTAATTTAAATCATTTGTCAAACAATATCTATAATACCACATTACTGTCCAATACCGACTCAAATACTTTCCAGGGTCAGCACTTATCTTTCAGCAGTATTCCAATGGCTTTGATGAGGACATTTGCTATGATGCTGGGCGAGATAGATTTCGTTGGCACATACGTCATACCGTATTACAAAGAGGAAGCAGATATCATGTTACCATTCCCCCTACCGACGTTTCTAATTTTGGGAGTGTTTATGGTACTAATGCCGATCCTTCTGATGAACCTGCTCATCGGTTTGGCTGTAGGCGACATTGAGAGTGTAAGGAGGAATGCGCAGTTGAAACGCTTAGCTATGCAAGTAAGTTTTTTAAAATCATTTTTTTAATATAATTCTTATCTGTTCTTATTTTACGCTGATAATTTTTTTTTATAAGTTATATTTTGAAGATTTTGATACTTATTAAATTTATCTGTCTTTACGACAAATCTCTTACAAGATAGACAGAGAAACCTGAACACAAAAGATTTCTTGTTTTATCCACTCTTATTTTTCCTGTATACGCCATTTTCCTTTTCAAGGCTTTTACAGACAATTAATTTTTTTATATTACTTGGACTATTAATGAATAACAGATATTAGTGTATTTTACTACAAAACAGTAAAAATTAAAAGTATCTTCTTGTATTTGAACTAAAATTATTACTCATATATTAGTAAAATCCTTATGTCAACATATAATAACTGTTTTTTTAAAGGTGGTATTGCACACGGAGTTGGAACGTAAGCTGCCGACTATTTTGTTCGAGAAAGTGGATAAAGACGAACTGATAGAGTATCCCAACACGAACAAATGCAAACTTGGATTTCTCGATTTTATATTGAGAAAATGGTTCTGCAATCCATTCACTGATGATGGTATGTACATGATAAATTCATAATTTTATTGTAACTTCTCTACTTCAGACCATCTATAAAAATGTCATATTATATCTGTTGTTAATTGTCCATTCATGAATTTCCTGAACCTTCACTATAAGGAGGATATTGCCAGTAGTTGCCACGCTTAGCAGGTGGGTTGGCAACTGCAGTTAGCAGCCCATCCCTCGACCATTAAATTCTCTTAGTCGCCTTTTACAATGTCCAGAGAATGGGAAGGGATGACCCATTCGATACCGTGACCACATGGTATCTTCTATAAAAATACTATACTAATGTTATAAAATTAAAAGATTCGACGATTTATTTGTTATAAATAATAAACTCAAAAACTACTCAACCGTTTTTCAAAATTATTTCATCTATAGAAAGGTACATTATCAGTAAGTAATTATACTATTGACTAGTATTACAATGTAAGGAGAGTAATTCTTTATACTCTGCTAATATTATAATTCCAAAACGATTCCAAAACGAATGATTATCTTAATCTTTCGCTATTTTATTTATAATTAGATAATTTAAAAGCTGTAAATACAATAATACTGATAATTCTAAAATTTTACTTATATAAATTTTGTAAATAATAACAATATAACTGTTACATAATAACAAACTTTTTATAGTAAATTATCTTTTAGTTTTTGTTATTATTATTATAATTTTACATAAATTCCTGTAATTATTACTTTTCATCGAGTGTGTTATTAACTTGATTTCCATTACATTATAAGTAAAATAATAAATCATATAACACTATATAAGATTTTGTTCAAAACTAGTCTGCATAGAGATTTTGAAGGATGAAATATGGCAGAGAAATTACACGGTATAAAGGCATAATATCTTAGTCCTCAGGAATGGCAATGCATGAGAGGTACCATCGATATTACAGTGTAGGTACTCTGAAATATCCATGGTATTGTTCATGTCTACAGGCAACAGTTAGCACTTTCCATCACGTAAGTTGTAAGCTTACCATTTTGAGTAGTCTTTTTCTTTTCATTTAAGAGTTTCCTCTTGTTGGTGCAACTAGTTCATGCATTTTCTTCCAGCCAGCTCTATCCCAGGTCATACCTTTTTAACCACTCTATATGACGTGACACCTGCTGTTTTCTTAAGTACTATAAGAAGTAAAATCTCTATTTGTCCATCAGCTGGCCTAGACTTGGTGCTGGAAAGCAATGAGGACTACATAACAGCTCAGCTGGACAAACAGAAGCGTCGTCTCCGCGAGATGTCGCAGTTATTGGAGCAGCAGCACGTACTCGTCCGGCTTATTGTACAGGTAGATTTTTCTTTACATTTATTAGTATACATCTCTTCTATTAGTATAATAAATAGGAAAATTCATAACCATGGATATATATATATATATATATATATATATATATATATATATAGATGGGTGTCTGTTATGTAAAAACTACTGAATGAATTTTAATGTAATTTGGGTACACATGTATGTTATGTCCTAACTTAAAACATAGACAAAATATTCTACAGGCTGTAGAAAATAGCTATTATTAAAATAAAAGAAATAAGTAGATATTGGATACCTTTGCTTGGATGAAGATTAATAAGCATCACTATAACTTTTGTATTCACTTCCGAACAAACGACTGACACCAAGCCACCTTTGTTCCCGTTTTAATGATTGAACTTTAACCCTTTTAAATTATTTGGCGGTGGGGTCGATTCTGAGACGTCGTTTCTATAAACTTATCTCTTAACACTTTGATAGCCTCACGAATTACATTTACCTTGTAACGTCTTATTTGAAAAATTTGTTTGCAATGGATAAACACAGAAAATTTTTAACCCATTTAATTTTTTTTTTCACTTTTTATAAAAAGTTATAATTATCAGCGAGTAACGATGACTGTATTTTATTTAAAAAAAAAATGTACGAAGCCGGGATGGATTTCTAGTGACGTTATAAGAGGCATGCTTAATTGTATTTCGTCCCTTCTCTAGAAAATGGAAATAAAAACTGAAGCGGATGACGTTGACGAAGGTGTGTCACCGTCCGACACGAAGGTCGTTCCCCGCTGGAGTTCCCCGAGGATCCGCAAAAAGCTCCGCACGGCGCAATCTTTCAACAAAGGATCTTAAATTCGAGGTACTCTGTGGGTTGTATTACACTGTCAAATATATAAGATAATGGACATTTTTAGTATCAATAACACATTTTGCAATATCTTGAATCTTACAAGTAAAAATATAATATGTTTGTTCAACTACAAAGTTGAAAATTTTGCCGCTTTCTCTTACGCTGGGTCCAGATCGATGTAATATAATATGAAATTTAACATGCATTGAAGTAATATAACGTCTAAATTGATACAATTTATCATGGATACACTTTGGATACAATTCAAATAGTATGGAAACCTTGGGCGCGTGAACTGTGCATTTCACGCGCATTAATAACATATGGACAGCAGCGTGGACGGGCGATTGGGAGACGCGCTTGTGCAAGCATTGAAACATAGGATGAGCTGACGACGAGTGGAGTAAGTAACTTGGCTGTTCGCAGTATTACAACAGTTGCACGAGCAAGGTAGGTAGCGAATGCACAATTCAGACGCGCAATACGTCCACATTTTTTTTTTGATGGATGAAAATGGTATGGTAACCCCGCTTGCGCTAACGGGATACGCTGGCGGAGCACCAGTGAAGAGTGATAGATGAGAATGAAAACAGACCAGTTAGCCCATCATGATGAATATATCAGGAATTAACCATGATAGTTTCCAGAGGGAACCGCGAGGAGGTCGACCTGGTTAGATATATTGCTAGCAATGGGATTCTCTGTCTCTATTACTAACAATCCCTTTCCCCCCATACGTCCACATTTGTAGCGAACATACAATGAAAGTTGCCGTGTGGTTCCGGCATAGAATAGGCCACCCCTTTTGTTCGTATGGGTGTCGTAAAAGGCGACTAAGGGAACTTAACGGTCGACGGATGGGCAGCAGCGTCCCTCGTCACCAAAGCATAACTGCGGTTGCCGACTCGCCTGATAAGCGTGACAACTACTGGCCCTCCTTTTGGGGATGGTCTGTGTTCAACAGTGGGCAGTGTTCGATTTATATTAAAATTTTGCTCTTTTATTTATTTAATAGAGAACCGAATAAAAGGGAAAGGATAAGGACTTACTGGATTTCGTCTGCTGCCATTTCTTTAGTCCCAGGACACTAGTTTTCAGCCTTTCGGAAATTTTCATCTTTTACACACACCACACGTCATGAGTTCTTTTTTAACTGTCAAAAACTAACAATCGCATTCCGTGCAACAGAGGGCGCTTGTAGTTATACAGCATGAATAGGGGGGGGGGGGAGCTGCTGAACATGATAGAATGAACGATCTGCACCTAGCACAATTTAGCCGAAATGATAGTACTGTTTCAATTAAATATTTATCGAGAATATATATGTACATATAAATTCTAATATTTGATAGTGTAATATCCCCTTAAGTTTTATGTATAATATTATATTTTAATTATTAGTTTTTAGTCTCTGTACATTGATTTGACATCCAAGTAAAGCATAATAATTCGTATTAGTCGATAAGATCATCGTGACAAATCCGACGTTAAAAATTAATTATGACCGTAGTAGTAGTGTTTGAATAAATATTTATACTATATATCAATTGCTCAACTATACCTTCATATAATTGATAATAACTGTTAGATTTAAGAATAAAATCTTTCAAAAATACTATAAATTGAAATCGGAAAGAGCGCAAAAAAATACAGGTGACACTAATTTTAAAGAAATATCACGTATTCAATATTTTTCCCAAAAAAAAAAAACACGATTTGTAATACAACAAAAATATCCTACTTTCCACATTGTCTAAGTAACCCCTACAACAACTAGTTATTATGGAAAAATTTTTGACCGTCGTTTGTTTTGTTTTCACAAATGTTTAGTAATAAAACATACACACACACACACACACACACACAAACACACAGACACACACACACACACACACACACACACACACACACACACACACACACACACAAACACACAAACACACACACACACACGCACACACAGACACACACACACAAACACACACACACAAACATTAATAAAACACTATCTTAAAGGGTTCCAGCGATTTCTATTTTAACCTCCTTCGCAAAAAAGAGGGATTATAAGTTTAACATGTCTATTTGTCTGTCTGTGTGTAGGTCTATGGCGTCATAGCTCTCCAAACGGATAGATCGGGGGAGAGGAGATTGTTAGTAATGGGGATTATAAACCTCATTGCTAGCAATATACCCTATCAGGTCGACCTCCATGCGGTATCCCCTGGAAATCATCGTGATTGATTTATTTTTGAATTCGTCACGATGAGCTAACTGACCTGCTTCATTCTCACCTATCATCTCTCTTTAAAGACTATCAACTCATTCTCTACTTAACGAAGAGATTACACCAACATCTGATTAATTTGAAATTGGGTGTATTCCATAACATGGTAATCTTGACCTGACGCTGTAACATCAAGGAGATTGTTAAATATCCAATTCCTCATCAACTTACTGATATTTCATTACAATGGTCTCGATGCGTAGTTGTTAGACATGTAATGATCAAGCTTTTGTTTTGTGTAGATTTGTTTGTCCCGGACTTTTTTTTAATTTTTGACAAATTTATCTTGTAATCTGTATATAGGATTCATAATTCCTAAACACTTTCTTATACATAAAAACGTCAAACATCACATAAACCTACTTTAGTTATTGTACTGTTTTGTCTCTTTATTTTGTACTAACATAACCTTCAAGAAAAGAGCATATTCCTTTTTAAAAGGCCGGCAGTACACCTGCAATGCCGTTAGTGTTGTGGGTGATCATGGGCGGCGGTAGTCACTTACCATCAGGTGAGCCGCATGATCGTTTGCCGCTTGTGTCATAAAAAAAAGAAAAAAAACTAAATTATCAGTTTGAAAGAAAGCGGCAAAACATTGTATTAAAATATATTATTAAAAATATAATTTACTTACTATATTTATTGAAACTTTCTCGTAAATGGTATATATATAAGAAATTCAACAAATTTATTTAAATTTTTGGACAACTTTATTAATTTTTTCAAATTACGAATTCAGCACAAAACAAAGAGACCAAACAGTTCAATAGCTAAAAAAGGTTTATGAGAGGTTTGATATTTTTATGAATAAAGGAATAAACGTGAACGCAAAATTTTTACGGAAATTTTAAAGTTTTTAAATTTGAAACTAGCATTTTGACCGCTACTGCGTAAGCGTGGATTTTAGAAGTAGTAAAACCAATGAAATTATCAAGATAAAATATATACCAGTTTTTAAATTAAACCTTCAAAAATACAAATGTTAAAATTCATTCAATTGGATGCAGTAGTTTCTGTGTGATGACGAAACAAACGCACAGGCAGATAAACAGACAAAATTATTGATTTGGCTTCTATTGCTCTTGTTAGGTCCCTCATATGCATTTTTCTTAAATCAATACCATGTACAAACATCGACTAATTACAATTTAATTATATTAGTAAAATTTCAGAACCCAAATTCGATGATAAAACTGAAGGAAGTGAACATTTTTTCCTTTTAAAAAGAACATATTAAAATCGGGCAGTATTTTTTCAATCTCATACACAAAATCTATAATGTGACCATGTTTCTTGTATAAAAATTTCATGTAATCATGTTTCTTGTATAAAAAAAAAATATTTTAATATTTCAAATATGTTCTATGAGGTAGCCTGTGCAGTTTCGTAGATACTATCACCGAGTTTCGGCTTGCTCGCCTTTACGACTAGCCCTGTATAATAAGCTGCATAAATATGTGAATTATTCTATTTCACTTTAGTAAAATAGAATAATTTACATATTATATATTTACGTTTTGAATTTTCAGCCCTATATATAGGATGGAATAGAAATCGTTGGAATCCTTAGTTCTCTTCCCGATTAGTCACTGTTTATACTGTCAATTCAATATCTATAACCTTTGTTCAATAACACCAAATAAATTTCTCATGAATTTAGGTCAAAAATAGCCGAGCGGACAAAGCTTCACTCAGTTTAATACTACGTTTTATAAATTGTATTTCTAATGTAAATTATATGAAAAGAACATTAAAATTGTCACAACAAAAATCATTACTTCAAAATAATTAAATAGTTCATTAAACTTTTGTTTGAAATCTTCAGTTATCGGATGAAATATTTGAGTTCTGTTTTAATTAGTGAAGTATTAATTTAGCGCTGCCATATTTATTTTAATTAGTAATCTAGAAAGAAAGATCACCTATCAATGCTACTACAGTTAGTAATTATTATTCCAATATTATTCTTACACAAAGTCGGTAAAATTCAAAATTTATTGCACTTTACAACAGCCATTCGTGTTTTTTTAAAAACGTTTGATATATTTTTGTTATACATTCTGACTATCTATCTATATATATTTAGTACATTAGTTTAGAATACACTATTACGAACGATAATGAGTCTTTTGTACCTAATTAATTATATTATTATAGTTTTTCATATATCAAACTATAAATCGATTTTCATGTAGTTGAGCAATTGTAAATTTGTAATTCAAAGTATAAACTATTTATTATGAAAATGTTAGTTTAACTCATTATTATAAGTATTAACTACGTTTAATCATTTGTTTTTTAAAATTAGTTGTATATTGTTAGGGTTCCGTAACAGAAAAAGACAAAGGAACCCTTATAATATGACTTTGTTCATCCATCCTCCCATCTGTCAATCTGTCATGCTGAATAAATGTGAAATTTGGAATAGTTTTACATATTGGCTCGCATATATTACAATGTAAATAATTGAAAAACCATTTCTATTTTCTTGACTACGGGGTACAAAATGAACGCTCAAAATTTGAAAATTTATCTCTGATATTCTCACGTGAAAATTTTTAAATAATTACAGTTTCAAAATTACAGGAGAAATATGAATATTACAGGAGAAATAAAATATTTTTTCTAACTAGCATAATTTTAGAGAAATTATAAAAAAAAATATAAGAAAAAATTTAATTCAAAACTCCATCCAACATAGTTATGCGGTACAGTTTT